GAGAGAGAGAGAGAGAGAGAGAGAGAGAGAGAGAGAGAGAGAGAGAGAGATTGGGATTGTTCCGGCATTCCTACCTTTTCTTTGCTTGCACTTTATGCTGTCATCACATTGAGCTTTGGTTTCCGATCACCCCATGGCATTATCAGATCCCAGAATGCTTTGTACTCAGACTCAAGAGTGCCTGTCTTTTCAATTGCCTTCTTCAACAGCCCTCTTTGCCTCGACAATTGCTCATGCACCCTTGGGAGACGGTGGATGGAGAGCGCCTCCACGAAGAGGATGCTAACTGCTCTCCACTGAGCCATACCAAGAGATGGCAGCGGACTGACAAAACTGAAGCTCTTGATCAGGCGTCCCATTGCTTGCTCGATGCTCGTTAGGGGCACAGAAATTCGCAGTGACTGCTGAACGAGAGGCAAGGCACGAGAAATACACTCTGAGAACGCGCGAGAAATCTCCGCAGATGTCCCGTCGCTGCACACAATTTGCTTGGGATAATGTCTTCCTGTTACAACCAGGTCATCAGATGCAAGGACGGCCTCGTTCCCCGTACCCACATCTTCTCTATACAAATACACCACCGTGGAAGCAGATACCCACTCCTCCAAGCTCATCCAGATCGTGCCGAATTGCGATACTTGGGCTTGAAAACCCTTGGGAGGAGGAGAATACCATTCACTCTTTTGCCACCGATCAAACCGGCGTCCATTTCTGAGTGAAGGCGCCGAATACGGCGAATCCGTGGTCCACTGCAAGCTTTCCTCGTCATCCTCTACGTCCCCCTCCTCCTCTTGGTCATCGGGCAATCCCTCCTCCAGCTCACCACGGCCAGAAAAACAGGGCAATGGAGAGGGCTCACTGCCTGCACTCGTCTCCGGGGGCATAATGGAAATTCCTGCCAATGCCGCAGCTTCGTGGGAGTCCGCATCCCCAGATTCGACGGCGGCTGCAGCCTGTGCCAATGCCTCAGCGATTGCCTTCGCTGAAGACAGCCTTGGGTCATCCCTCGACTCCCCTTGTAAGCTAGTGGCAGCGTCGTCCACTTCCCCACTCCCATCGGCGACAGCTTCCTTTCCCTTTCTTCTCCTCTCGACTTCCGTGGATGCTCTTCCTGCTCCACACGTCTCACTGGTGTCTTCTGTACTGCCGGATGAACCCGCATCAGGGATTTGGCCTGCCGTCTGAACTGCGTCTCGACTTCTTGTGACTATTTCCTCCCCTGGTTGTTGTCCAGGTGCAACCTCTGTCGATTCTTCTACCTTTATACACCGGGTAGCTTGGGTAGCATCCTCGCCCCTCATGGTGTTGCCATTGCTCAACTCCGCGGAAGTGCTCTCACCCATTTGACCCTCCAGAGAGCTTGGCTGCGCTTTGCAGAACTTGCCTTCAGTACCCTCGGTGGACGGAACACACATATCCACTGTCTGCGAGCCAGACATCATGACAGCCGCCTCCTCTCCACGGTTGAGACGGTCTGTGGGCTCCGCAACCGGCAAATCCAATGTCTTGGTTGGATGATCTTCTTGCACATCGTAGCACTTTTCAGTGTTCTCTGCCATCTCCGTCCGACTAGCTGTCGACCGCGCATCGGGGTCTTTCGACGCCTCATTTTGGCCATCAACTGAACCCACTAACTCGTTCTTAACACCCCCCCGTACAGCACTATCTTCCACATGGCGACCCGCGTCCTCTCTCTTGTCACCGTTGGAGACACCCCCGTCCGCACAAACCGCTCCAGATCCCTTCACTGTTTCTGCAAACCCTAACCCTGTTCTTTCTGGGACCCCCATCTCCTCTACTACGTCAACATCGTTCCCATCTCCTCTCCCCAGAGTTGCAGTCCCCTCTCCATGCGGCACTTCCGCCAACAACGAGCAAAGTTCAGGTCCCGCCAAGGAACCACCAGACTGTCTTCCGTCATCGGCACCCTTGGCAACCACCTCAAGTAGTCGCTTGCTCCTCCCTTGCCCAGCAGCCACCTCCCCCTTGACTGACGTGGCGTCTCCATGACCTGAAAATGACTCGGATACCGGCCTCTTATTGCTAGCTGTAGCCGCTCGGGCTCCACTTGATGGGAGGCCCTTTGGTGGCCCTCTGTCGGTGCCGACCACGAGCCCTTTTTCGTCCTTCACTCCGGAGACAGCGTTACGCTGCTCTCTCTTCCCGGAAACTGCCGAAAACTCCTGCGCAAGCCTGCTCATGGACGGCCCCAGATCGACCATCTCGCTGCCCAGCGCATCGTCAAAGATAATCACATCCCGCAACCCCCCTCGCCTTTTCCCTTCCAGTTTACAATACCTCTTTGGCTGGGAACCCCTAGGCCTCCTTGCTCCCCATTGACTGATAAAAGCATCCCCGCGGCAACCACCTACCACTCTTGCCTCGCGTACATCCCGCGGATCGACAACCTCCAGGGGAGCGTTGCGATGATCTGCCCAAGATACACTCCTAGGAACCCTATGCTTTTCCTTGTGCAAGGCTGATCGCAGCTTTGGAGGACTGGGCGCAGCTGATGAGCCTGACCCCGTGGCTTCGTCGGCTTTCGGCAGCGTCCTCAAGTCATCTCCCGTCTGCTCAACTGCTTCAACTTCATGTTTGCCCACACTCTCCGCGGTTGTGGGAATTGAACCCGGTTCAGCCGCCTGCAGTTCTCCTCCTGTGGCCTTCCGCGAGTCGGAATCGGCGGCTATTCCTTCACTGGACACGGAAGATGCTGCCCTCCTCCTTTCACACGGTTCCGCAGGCAGATGATCGACAACATGATGCGCCTCTGCTGCCCTATCGGGACACACAGCAGCTGTTGTGCTGCCGCTAACCATGACTCCTCTTCTGTTCGACTTCCGCCTGCTCTCCCGCTGGCCCACCACTGCCTCAACCATCCTTTCCGAGAGGAGACTGCCCTCACCCAGATGCTCCTTGTTTGTGAGAGATCGCCTGCTCCTGGGAGAAACAGTTGTTGCCTCGTCCGTTTCAGGGCCCCCCGTCCATGGAAGCACTTTGGCTTCCAAATGCTCATCGTTGGCCTCTGCCGATTTCAAGGCCAAGCGCACACTCGATCCTCCTCTTTGCGTTTTGCGCACTTCAGGAGCAGCCACTGCATCATTACCACTGCTGCTATTGGTCTTCCTAATCTTGCCCTGTCTTCGTTTGCTCTGAGTTGCTGCTGCCCCTGCTATCACTGCAGCAGGATAAGCCCTATTCTGAAGGACATATCCTTCAATGGCATTGGCTGGACCAGTGGGAACCAAAGTACTGCTGCTTGAAAGTGCTTCAGCCTGTGCTGCTGAAGACACACGCTCGCTGATATGCAGCTCAGGCTTCCTATGGGAAGCCCCATCACCATTACCATCGTCGTCACGCGATGGATTTACCTCGTTCTCCCCGTTCACCGGTGAGGTCGTCTTCAGTTCAGACGCCGCATCTGATGCGCCTTGTCCTGTAGCGATCTGATTGTTGCCAGCATCACCATCGCCCCGAGGATCGCCGACGGGTTTGCTGCCCATGGTCTTGATAGCCGATACCAGCTTCGCGAGCTCGGTCAGTCCCAATTCCATGCCATGCTCCTTTTCAAGTGAGCACTCGTACATCTTGCTAGCGACGGCGCATTCAGCCGAGCAGTAATTGAGGACCGCATGTGTGTCATACACCTTCTTTTCCCTCAACGAAATGCGGTATCTGCCTCTCCTCCGCCCTGGAAACTCAGGTGCAAGGGCGTTTCCACAGCGAGGGTTCCCACATACTCTGATATTTGCTCTCTCGGCGACGACATCCTCGTACTCGCTTCGGATGAGTATTTTCTTAGCCACTTGCATCTGCCCCTCCGTGGCCACTCCTTCCAGCAGAACCATCTGTACCTCGAAGATAGCCTTCCTTTGGCCAAGCAAGACCGCCGTCCTCTTTTCTGCCCGGAGTCGGCGTCTCTTCTCTCTTTCATCTTCCTCTTTCGTCTCTCCTTTCTCTCTCTCTTTCCCCTCCGTTCTCCTCGAGTCCCCGTCGATGCTCCGACCACTTCGATCCAAAGATTCCTTCCTGCTGGATACTTTCCTATCACCCACTGCGCTTGTTTTCTTGCCACCATCGCACTCGGCCATACCTGCCTCCTTGCCCTCTTGTTGCTTCTTGTTTCCGCCACCCATTACAATTTGCACCTCTCCATCCGCACCAACAACGGCACTCATCTTGTTGCCCTTAGACTTCCTTCCCGCCGCTGTACCTCGCTTTGGACGCCCTCCATATTCTCCCATATTGGATTCTCCGCCAGACCCCGCACTGCCTGGTGCACCTGAACCCTTTCCATCACCCTCCGCTTTCATCAGGTTTGTCTTCTGCTTGAGAACCCTCCCAGTCGACGCTACCAGAGAGCTAGACGCTGGTGCATCATCCACACTGACGGCCTTTCCTACGTCAGCACATCTGTCCCTCGTACGCGGCGATTTCTTCTTTCCGTCGTCCTCCTCCTCCGTCTGCTTCCGCAGGGCGTCCTTCGCTGGCACTGACCCGTCAACCGCGCCCTTCTTCTCTTGCGCATTTGGGACATCCGTGTGGGGCGCGCAGCTGACGCGGCCATCACGAGCCTGACCATCTGCCCCTCCGGTCGAGAGGAACGAAGACTCCTCTGTATCTGATGCGCTGATCGGTTGAGTGAGGGTGCCGAAATCCGTGCTGCTCGAAACAATCACCGACGATGTGAAACCCCCCCTCTTATCCTCTGCATCAAGCTCCGGCAGCGGGGAATAATGAAGAGTAGGGAGAAAAGTCGTCATCGTTCCTTGCCTGCCTGGCAATCGGTACCTGCTCCTCTTCCTCGAGTCTTTCCCTCTCGCTCTCTCCCCCCTTCAGCAATTGTTCCCGCCGCTCATCTCTGCTTACCCTCCATTTCCAAATTTTTAAAGAGCACATGCGCATTCGTTTCTAGGGTTACGATATCCGAAAATGGATACGTATTACATCCCCTTATGTTAAGAAGAAGAGAAAGGGCTGTACAAATCCGCCGCCCACTGCAAAAACGACAACATAACAAAACATCCAGATGGATATCCCCTCCAATTAAGAAAAAGAAGAGAAACAGACGCACAAATATGACACCAACTGCAAATGACAGCATAACACAGAGAAGATAACAAAATAAATACCGAAAAAAAAAAAAAAAACTCAGTCATAACTTGTGTGAATTTTTGTTGTGATATAATAATCTTGCTGTTAAGTGCGAATTGAAGTCACATGGTTCTCAAAACATGAAACGCGAAAAAAAAAAAAAAAACACCACTACCTTTCCCAGGCGAAGTCGAGACGCAAAACTGAAATATTCCCGGTTCATCGGAGGCTTGGTGCTGCCAAACCACGATGGCTGGCGGAGCCAGGCAAAAAAAAAAAAAAAAAAAAAAAAAAAAAAAAAAAAAAAAAAAAAAAAAAAAAAAAAAAAAAAAAAAAAAAAAAAAAAAAAGAAGCTGCACTGGCGCTTCAGCAAAGCCTGGCGCGCACAGGGAACCGGCCTCGGCAAAAAGAGGCTAGGAGATGGTGGTGGTTTCAAGGGCCCGGCACCACCGCCGCACTATGTTTGGACTTACAAAGCATGAACCTGGTCGCGAAACCCGCCCAGTTCAAGCTCACCTAACACAGACATAGCCCCGATACATGGCCAGGCTATACCATTACACAAAATCCAATGCTAATCCCGCGAGGTATTCTCTTCATTATACATCCAGCAACTTTTTCAAATATCACCAACTACAATAACAATAACACAACACCAACAAAACAAAAGAAAGAGAGAGAGAGAGAGAGAGTCTCCACTGATTCCTTTGAGTTTCAGCCTTGCACAGAGAGAGAGAGAGAGAGAGAGAGAGAGAGAGAGAGAGAGAGAGAGAGAGAGAGAGAGAGAGAGAGAGAGAGAGAGAGAGAGAGAGTCTCCACCGATTCCTTCGAGTTTCAGCCTTGCAAACAGTACTCCTCAGGGGGAGTATTTAAGGCCTTAGCCAGGCTCCTGCGCGAATCACCCCCCCCCAAAAAAAGACCAGGCCCCAAAACAAAACACCAGGCGTAGGGACCAAGAACCAGCACTAGAAAAAATCATCGGTGTTATAATTTGTTCAACTACCAGTGAATTTGAGGGACCTAGGACACCAAGAATTCCGTGCACCTATAATTTGTTTAACTCCCAGCTTTGAACGAATCACCAGACCCGCTCAGCTGATTGATTCAAGGCCGAAAAACTGACCAGGTGCTGAGTGTACAGACGAAATATGCCCCTACCCTTCACCTGCAATGTGCGCTGTCACCAAACCTGCATCTCAGGTTTCCCGCTTTCTCTCTTTTTTTTCTTTCTCTCTCTCTTTTTTTTTTTTCTCTTTTTCTTTTTCCTCTCTCTCTTTTTTTTTCTTTCTTTTTTTTCTTTCTCTCCTTTTTTGTACCTGTTTTTTCAGAGCAGATCCGGACTGTGAAAACAGGTTCGGATCCCAACAGCCCCACACCTATGGACGAACCTGGACGGGGTTACGACTAGATGCTTGGAAAGAGTGGCTGTGGCTTAGACAATGACCGTCTCCTCTGGCACCCTGAGAGGGCCATTATGAATTTATGACCCGGTCTTTTTTTTAGGGATTTTTTTTTTTTTTTTTGAAGGGGTATTTTTTGTGATTGCAAAGTGCACAAATAAAAACCAAGTCCAACCAATTCCCAAGTTAGATGTTGTGTGGGCAAAAAAAAACAAGTACTACCGTCTTCACCCGAATGCAATGTACGGTCATTATCGCTGTATTCGGGCCAACTTTCAGACCAGATGCAGCAATAATGACGGGGCGTTTTCCTTGGGTGAAGACGGTAGTGATAGTCATTCTAGTGGTAGTACAGGTCGTAGTAGTAGTATGACTACCATCGTCACCCATATAGAACACCCAGTCATTATATCTGTATTTGGTGCAACAACGTCCAGACCATATACAGCGATAATGACCGGGCGATCTATTCGGATGAAGACGGCAGTCGCAGCAATGGCGGTAGGACCACCACCAGCAAGTACTAGCACTACTGGCAGTACTAGAAAAGGCAGAAACAAGTATAGGACTATTAGTACTCGCAGTAGTAGTCGTGCTACCGGTAGTAGTACAAGGAGCAGCATGAGAGCCGGCAATAGACCAGGAACAGCGATGGGAGCCAGACCAAGAACCAGACCAAGAACCAGACCAAGAACGGGAGCCAGACCAAGAACGGGAGCCAGACCAAGAACGGGAGCCAGACCAAGAACCAGACCAAGAA